CATTTGAACAAACTTGGTAGCCCTTTATTTCAGCATGCTACAGGCCCAATATCAGTTCCCTGGGCCTTTTGTTTATTGAGGAGAAGTCGTTTGAAGATTTAACGACATTTGACCCCTTTGACCTTGAAAGTAGGTCAAGGTCATTCATTTGAACAAACTTGGTAGCCCTTTATCCCAGCATGCTACAGACCCAATATAAGTACCCTGGGCCTTTTGGTAATTGAGAAGAAGTTGTTTGAAGTTTTTAAGTCATTTTACCCCTGTTACCTTGAAAGTGGGTCAAGGTCATTCATTTGAACAAACTTGGTAGCCCTTTATTTCAGCATGCTACAGGCCCAATATCAGTTCCCTGGGCCTTTGTTTTATTGAGGAGAAGTCGTTTGAAGATTTAACGACATTTGACCCCTTTGACCTTGAAAATAGGTCAAGGTCATTCATTTGAACAAACTTGTTAGCCCTTCATCCCAGCATGCTATTGGGCCTCTTGGTTATTTAGAAGAAGTTGTTTAAAGTAAAAAGTTGACGCTGGACGGACGACGGACGCCGCACCATGCCATAAGCTCACTTGGCCCATGGCCAGTTGAGCTAAAAATAGTGTACTGCTGATAATACTTTACAAAGTGTATGATACGGTATGAAGCATATTTAGCCTATATATATCCCAGCCCGAAGTCCAAGTATCGGCTGTTATCATATAACCGTTAGTGTCCCGCTGATAATACTGTACAAAGAATATGACACGGTATGAAGCAATGAGATTGATGTCCTTAGATATCTCAGCCCGAATGACCGCCAGGCTTTTTCTTCGTGTTATATGACAGATCTACTTACAAATTGAGAGTTATATGGTGTTATCTAGCTTCTAAGTACAGTGACTGCTGTTATCCTGAAACAGTTACAAGTTATTCATCTGTATGTGTCTATGTGGGCCCCAATAATATATGGAAGTTTTTTCTTGACAACAACACCTTTTATTTGACCTTCTAGTCACTGGTGAGAAAAGTGTATAGCTTCTCTGTTACTGGGTGATATTTCAAAGTCCAGACCTGCAATGGAGAAAATTTTGTGATAAATTCGACGACTTCCAACTTTCGATAATTAATTTTCCTTATGGAGTTTGCATGTCACAGCTTCTTCAGTAAGTATTGCAAATGTTTTTGATAGTACGAATTATTCCTGGGATGTGGACATCTCTATAGAAGTATGTGTGGATCAGACCGAGGGACGTTCCCAAATGAGAACGTACAATTATTTTTAATAAGCACTGACGTATTGTAACTAGATTATAATTATTCAAGTTTAAGCTTAATTTGGCATGTGAAATGTGCCACTGTTATATTTGGCATGATTAAATTCATGTTAACAACGACTGGAATGAGTTTCGGCCTATTGTTTGTTTTAGTAAAACATGGCGTCTTCAGGAACCTCCACCGACTGGCAAAGAGGAAAGACGCTGTCACAGTGTATGGACCACGTATTCACGTCTGGCACAACTAGTGATGTAACGTTCCTTGTCGGTGAGGACAAGAAAAAGATACCTGCCCACAAACTGATCCTAATAAGTAGAAGCCCAGTATTCTACGCCATGTTGGAGGATCCAATGGCTGAGAAAGGGGAGATAACCAATCTGGATATAACCGAAGACGTCTTTCAGCTGTTTTTACGGTTTGAAGTTTCTTTCCTTTTATTTTTCCATGTTTAACAAAATTTCTCCCATTTTCCCCCGATTACATGTCTCTAGCTTCAAGGATTTGTTCTGTATATCGAAATAAAAAAGGCAATTTCGATCGACAGATTGGGTTTTATATCAGGTGATTAATGTACCATTTTTATCTACTAAGTTGATTAAGTCTGACAATGAGGGTTGGAATAATATAAATACGTAGCAATGCCATCGATATGGATATTAGGAGAACTACAGTACCTTTACACTTCATTTATTTTTCCAATCCTGACTGGGGTGGGGTTTAGGTGAAACACATGATCCAGTTATAGTTCCCTTATTTTATCAGGCTAAATATAAACAAGCAAAACTCAGGACAAATGGGATTCTAAATAAGAAATATTTGTCCAAGCTCTTTTAGAAATTACAATAACAGATTTGAACTGTCGAATTTCAAGATGGCCCCCGTGGCAGCCGTCTTCATTTTTGGATTAGTCTCAATACACAATAACCACTACTAAAGACCTATGGGAACCTACAAATGACTAGGACGTCTTTAGAAAGGTCAATACTAAACTTGAACTGTCAAAAACCAAGATCAAGACCATCCTGCTTTTTAAATCAATATTAATCTTGCACACCTTCGACCAATGAAAACCTACGTATGAAATTCGAAACGACATGTAAAGATCTTCTGGAAAATAGTAATTGAACAATCTGCATGTCAAATATCAACATAGCTGCCTGGCAGTTTTCTAGTCTCCAAATCTTACATGCACAATTACTATAAAGGATGATCTGCATATGAAATTTGAGATAGATCTCTCAGATACTCTTTGTGAAATAGTACAAACACACTTCTAAGTCTCGAATTCTGTGTTTTGCTTTGTTCAGCCCATAGTTAAATATATATATAAGGACTACGGGGAACATACATGTACAAGTAAAAAGAAATATCCTCCGATTTCTGAGAAATAGCGCTAAGAACTTTAAAGCTCAAAATTACAAATAACCATATGTGAGCCTCTTCTTTCAATAAGTCCTACGACTCAACATGTATATCGAAGAACAATTTTGATCTTGCATGTGAAATTTGACAAAAATCCCTCGAGTAGTTCCCATGAAATAGCACTTACAAACTTGATCTTTTTGATCATTTCCAATTTCAATATTTATTACCAGGAACCACGGAGAACCTTAATGCGATTTTTAATAAATCCCTCCTGTACTTTATGATAAATAGCCCCAATAAACTAACTCGTAAAATTCAAGATGGCCGTCTGTCGACCAACCATGTGCTCCGATCAGGCCCAAACATTTAATATATATAACAAAGGACAATGGAAATCTATTTCTGAACTTGGAGAAAGATCTTTTTACTTTCTGAGAAAGGGCGCCAACATAAATTGTTTACTGACAATTGCGTTGTGAACATGAACGAAGGGCAATTTGAACAGTCAACCACCCGATATAATTAATGGGCTAAAATACTGCAGATTTACTCAAATTAATATTTCTACCGTTTCTTTACCTATTTAAACCGTAAATAAATTGCGAATGTAAACATGGTATATTTGATAAAAAATGAACATCTGTATATAATATTTATATTTATTTAGATGTCTGTACACAGACACAATAAACTTGACGGAGATGAACGTAGTACCAGTGTTGAATGCCGCCAGGAAGTACTCATTCTAGTTTCCCACTGTGAACACTTTCTGACCAAAAGTTTTTCAGCAAAAACTGCTTGTCTGTTCTTGGAACATGCGCATGTTTTTTTGGTGGATAAACTGAAAACCGAGTGTCTAAAAGTGATAGGTGAATCTTCAACAGATGTACTGCAATCGAAGACATTTTCTGACCTATGTCCGAGTTGTTTGACAAGTATCACTGAATCAGATGACCTTGCTGATGATGAAAGTGACGTGTACATTGCCGTCATCAGATGGGCGGCAGCTGAATGTAGCCGTCAGAACATAGAGGTGAGTAGCAAGTGGATACTGTTACTAGGGCTGTTTTTACAGATACATATTGCAGTAATTAAGGGCATTAAGATGGACCGTATAAATTACAAAAGGCAAAAATAACAATATTAAAATTGCAATCATCTTCGCTGCCAGTGTTATCTATTTGTAAACGCAATTAAACCATTATTATTGCATTGGGCAAACATTCACTAGGTTTAAATGTAAGTGTTTTGAAATTTATAATCAGAATACATATACAGGTAAATCGCAGAATCAGATTAATGTGTATCATTACAGAGCAATCCCGAAAACAAAAGGCAAGTCCTTGGAGATATTCTGAACACAGTGAGGTTCCAGAAAATTGATTTTGACTTCTTCCTCAAGCAAGTGTGTGATGATAAAGTACTTCCAGGGGACATGGCACTAGATGTTATCAACTACAAAATGCACAGCAAGATCGAGGGTATGCCTTGGCTCAATCTGAACGACCGAAAATATGCTGTACCTACAATGGAGAGTGTTTGGCGATTTAAAACTATTTTGGATGGATCATGGGTCAACAACTTTCAACAAGAAGCTATTTCCTTTAAGGTTCCATGCGCAATGAAACTATACGGAATCGGGTCATTTCTAACAAATGCAGAACCTAGCACGGTTGATATAAAGGTGTATAATGGATCTACTCTTCTATACAGCGGGAGTAATTTACCGCTGGTCAAAAACGATTCCATATATGCAGGCGATGTTTTGCTTGCGAAACCAGTTCGACTATCGACTGGAAAAACGTATACAGTTATAGAAGTATCAGCAGCGTGTAAAGTACACTACTCCAACACAGGGTTAGAGAAGGTAGACTGTAAGGGCGGAACAATTACTTTTATCAGCAGTTCCATGAACAGTTACTCGACAGCTAAGAAAGGTCAGATTCCCCTTCTTATCATAGGATCATAAATAATATCTGCGATGAACCGGAAGTTAAGCAATCTTTTTCATTGGAAGACCAGCATTTCGTCATCAATATAAAGAAGTTTACTATAAGTACTCGCGGCGTTTTGGAAAAAATAATTACAGCTTACGTCAGTCATTGTTTTGTGTGCAAGAATATGACCATCTTAATAATCATTGAGTTGGAAATTAGTTTCTATTAAAATAGAATGAATTATTAAGGACGATGACGGTTCCATATACTGATAGCAGGGGATCATGGTCAATTTGAGGGATGATAAGTTTTATGTATTTTGTCAGATATGTTAAGAGGTATATTAAATGACAAATCATATAAATTGCTGAACAAATTTTGAAGCAATACAACTTTGACTTTAGTTAAATTAAGCTTAAAAACAAACTAACTTTTCATGTCAAAGTGTTTTTAATTGCAATACTCAACAATGCAAGCATCTTTGCCAAGATATTTGCCCTCGGTTGTTATAACGGACAAAAACTCTATGTTCTGTGATATTCAGAGAAAACCGTTTCCTGTGAATTGAAATCTAAAATAGAAAAAAATGTATATTTCGGCGTTCATATTAAAAGGTCAATCTACATTAAATGCCTCTTATAATCATGCTTCCTAGTCTCACGTTAAACTAGTAAGTTGATACTTATGTAAACATAATGCTGAAATACTCATAAAAGCTAGCTTTCTCGTGTGCTCTTGCTGTATGTTTATTAAGAGACAGTTGTCGGCAATATTTCCGTCTCAATGTAAATCAAATATTTTCAAGCAAGAGCAAGAACGTCATTTCAAACATTGGTAACATAATTTCTTTAGAATGCAAGCACAAATATTTTTTCATGAATCGATGGCATTTTCCTAACATCTCAATAATTTGCACATTTATTTTACCTTTTACAAGAAGCCCAAGGTCATTAAACGCTTACCTGCTAATGAAACAGAAACGAAATTCAAGAACATATTTCATAAGCATGTTAATTTTGCATAACTTATGTTTCTTACCATTTCATGATACTAAAGCATTTAAAATGTATGTTCAATTGCTTTCAAAATGTAAGCACGTTACATGTAGCATAATCCACATATACATGTTCATTAATGAAATTGGGTTTTTAAACCTAATTATTTTTCTAGGATAGTTAATTAAATGTATTGTTATAATTTCCCTTTTAACAAACTGTAAATATTAGGACCTATATAAGGGTCCTCCAGGTAAGATAAAGACAATTTTACTTTATCCATAACCATGAATAGCCACATCCTCCCCATATACAATGATGGTTCTCCTTAGCTGCAGGAAACTCCAGACAAATAGAGGTTCAAATCCTTCAATTTGTACTCAAGAAGAAAGGATTGTATACATTTGGCCCCACTTTCTACCCCTTAGGGGCGTTTATACTGTCTCTTTATACAATGTTATACAATTAAATTCTTACAGGATGCCAAAATCCAAATAACGGTCAAATCAAGATGTTAGATTTCAAGGCTTTAACTATATTTCCCCCTCAGGAGCCCTATCCCTCTCGTTCCCGTGATGGCTATACTCTTCACCTATACAAAGTGGAGTTCCCTTTTCCCAATGATGCCCCATACCATCTTAGATTAAATTCCCTTCACCGATACTCAAGGTGTAGGAGAAGGGTCACATACTTCCTTTATACAAAATTGATTCCAATTAGCCTCGCAATGCTACACACTAAAATATGTCAAAATTTATTCAGCAATTCTAGACAAGTAGGATATTTAGTGAGTTATAGATGGACGATAGACGCCACACCACGGCAAAAGCTGATTAAAATGCTGATACGTATCGTGTATTGGCTACATTAATCATGTTTTATTAAAATTCAACTGTAAACAAGTTGTAACAAAACAAAAAAATGTGAAATGAGACACGATTCATATTAGTCGTAAGTTAAAAAAAATTATTCAAAGCGACGATAATTTAACAATTTTGTGATATTTCAAAACTCCATAACGTCGTCGACCTCTTGCAATCTGTTTGTCGGCATTTCGTATTCCGTGTGGGGTCCCGGGTGTTTTGCTATATCGGCTGTAGCTATATTTATCACAGGCTTTCCCAAGAAATAAAACTTGACTTTAGAGGATATCGTCTCCACTTTTGTTAGAAGAGATACATATTTTGGTACCTTGTTAATTGCGGACAGTACTTTACTTCTTGTTTAGGATTGAATACATCATTAACTGGCTTTTCATATGAAAACAGCGAAAAAGCGATTCCAAGTCTAGAATATAGCAGTGTGTCCTATAGAGTCTTAGATCATGGTAGCGCATTTTTCAGGTGTGGTGTAAAGAAATGTCATTATGAATTTAATATTGTTTAGATTATCATAATAATTTGGCGATATTCCTATTGATCAGCTTTTCGTTTGTTATGGTACCCTCCTAACAATAAATCGAAAGAATAACAAGCAATATTAGTGATGTATATTTTAATAATACTTATCAATACTACTTATCAATCGTTATTGTATAATTAACACGTGTACAATGAATCAGTGGAACGAATAAACGCTTTTTGTTATTCGAGATCTTCGTTTATTTTCCCATTTCTCCATTCAGTAGTTTCTAGCTCGGGTGTATTTGATGTTAATTGAGTATTCTCCATTATGTAGTTTCCATATCGGGATGGTACATTTTTGCTATTTCCGTAACATAAACATGTTCATTTTGATTGGAAAGAAAATATCTAGAAGGTGTTTATCGTACCAAATTATGTAATCAATGAGATCTAATTTTGGGTGCACATCCGGCCTTCATACGATCAGTGAGAAGGGCTCATCATGGCGGCTTGGGTTACGTCACTTCAATCCAGGTCATGTCACAGTTCAGTTTGGCTACGGAATTAGATTATCTAAGCGATATTTTTTGGCCACACATTTTTTACCTACTGTAAAATTATTAAAATCGGTCATCTGTGGTCATGACTACTGGTTTTGCGACATTTACAGGTTAGTAAACCGGAGGGCATGATTTCACCGATATCGTCTGGTCCCGGACAATAGGCCAGGTAGGATCGCANCCCTACTGCATTGTCATAACTACAGACTGATTTGACTGATAAGGGATTATAAAAAATATGTTTATACTAGAAGCGTGGACAATCAATACATCCTCTTCAAATCTACTACAAGGAAAAAAATAGTTAACGCAGACTATTTTTACGATGCTTCATTTAATAAATATTGAAATAATTCACGAGGTTATTATCAATCACGTGTTTACGTAATGTTAGACGCGAGATCAACATAAAAGTGAGCCGGAAAAAAAACATGCTATACGTATACGCATAGGCGATTTGAAAAAAACCTTACAGAACTTACATGGAACGGAGCTTAAATTGATCAACTACATTTTCGTAATAGTATGGTGAAACGCACCGAGATGTCGAAACGTAATGTCGTAAGTTGATCGGCGATTGTCTGGCATAGGAATTTGGCTAAACTTTTTTTGTTAACGGTTACCTAATTAATAATACTTTTCACATAAACTTACATAACAACACATTATGTAACTTTTATTAATGTTTGACATAAATAAATTTGTTCATCGTCATTTGTCTTCAGTGTACCAAGGGAAATAATCCAAGATGGCGATCTCCCAGAATCGTCGATCTTTTCCTGAAAAAAACTTGAAATTTTCTATACCTGTGTATTTTACGCACCCCCCACTTTGGGTATTAAATTTCTGAAAAAAAAGTGCGCAAATTACATGGGTTTTTACGGTAACTATAATTGTGCTTAATTATTTATTTATTTATCTATTATTGAAAGATCAGTTCAATTAATATTATATCAAATACTACATGGACCAGCTTGTTAATACATGTATTATCAAAGATATAAAACTTAAGAAAATTAAATAGGTGAAAAATATGAATATTTATATAAGCATATGCGCTGGAGTTCCAACAGGTAAGATTTAAGAAAAATACTATAATCCCTATCCAAACAAGATGCCCTACAGGTAAATTAAAAATGTATGCGTTCAGGTAATCATGCGTTCAGCTAATGCCATTTAATGACGTGCCTCCATGTGTGAAATGTATGCATGCTTGTGTTTGTGTGAATGTGTGCCAACTTTTGAGTTATACCTCACTGAAATACATGTAGTACCATACCGAAATCATCCAGCACAGTACAGTATTCCTCCCGGTCACATTATACTGACAACGGGTGAACCAGTTGGTGTGGTAACCCTGAATGGTGAACGTTTAGCAGGGAACCACAGGTACGTCCCAGCCTGGGGACAGAACACAACACTAAGGCAAAAAATGCGGTATTGTCTGGTAAGCAATAGGAAACAAAAGTTTTCATTAATCACAAAATGCAGTGAGAAACAGCTAGTATATTCCTTTCTAGACAACTGACATGCCGAGGTGCTAAATCTATTAATTAACTCATATTATTAGATAATTCGATTTCAATTTACATTGAGAAACACTATAAGCAAACCTTCCGAGTCTGATCTGTTTGTATATAACCTATACTCAGTATCATATTCTAGTGTGTGGCGACCCCGTATTTGTATGTACTTAATAAAATAATTATATATCGGTTATATTGTAAAGCGAGGACACAGTCCTCCAGAGACGCATATATTACATCTCTGGAGTCCATCGATAGTTTGAGTCACGCCACCATCACAGGGTCTTGTGGAGCTAGGCTTTTAATGCACTTTTTAATGGGCATTTTCACAGCTGTATTTGGATGAACTAACGATAAAAATGCCACCCAAAAGATGATGAATACGATCGCATATACACCTGTATCATCATTGTGGGAGGAATTTTAACAAATGTTGATCTAAACATCTAAAACGTGTAAAATTACTATGAACACCTTAGTATAGGTCCAAATAGAACTATAACACATTTTCAAGTCCCTGTGGTTCTACCGAGTTTATCAACACCCGGAAAATACACTTGAAAGGAATATTAAGATACTCTTATCGGGCGATGATCTACACATAGACAATTGTATTACAACACAATCTGTTATTTAAATGTGCTATACACATGCGGTGTCTTAACTATTAGGTACCTGTGACCGCAGTGCACTCAGTAATTGGAAAAACCCCGATTGTACTTTCGGTTTAGAAGGGCAGCCCTGACGAGTAAAAGGCGGACAAAGATATCAAGGTATTGTCATCTACAATTGTTATTATATTGTGTATACTGACATGTGTTGTGTAAATATGTTTTCCCCTTTTCATATTTACATTTAACCTGGAAATATCAAGATTCAATACCTGTATGAAGTGCAAATCTGTTGACTAGACTGTCTATTTTGTTCATGATTTTTGTCAACGAAATTGTTTCCTCTTTACTAGAATCCTCGATCCGTCTCTGCTCGTAAACTGTCCTATTGACATTTTCACGGGGGTTAGACTTGGATATTGGTTGATTGTTAGGATAAAATGCACAAGATGGCACCAGAGATTGCGAGGGTCTTCGCGCCTTCGTTGTAGGGAGAATGCCCCACTGTTAAACCCAGGTTTGATGTGGTTTACCTCCTTTACCTTCGTTAAATTATCGACGAAATATATGTAACTTAACCTTTAATAACGCATGACCAAACAAAATATGTGAATAGCATACAGATTACATAGTCAAAACAATCTAAAAGGAACAAGCTCACTGAAGATGTTTTGTTTTGTAGTTTGTATGTTTTACAGTTAGGAGAAGTATATCTTTCTTAATCTTTCTTCTCTATTACATTCCATCAATTCATATCAATATATAAATAATATTGCCCGAAATATATCTCGATATAATTACGGTTCCAGTTTTGCTGAACACTTCAGTGTTGTGAACTTTTACACGGTCACACACTTTTCGAATTTCATTCACATCTTGCCAGGTTTATCGAGAGCGTAAAGAATACATATAGGATCTTACATGAGTTTCCATTTCATATGAAATGAAAACAAGTGTAAGGTCCTTGTGAACACAACCAATACTTGTGGCATTTATTCGTGAACTGGGCAATTTTCATGCAACCTTGAAATGTAAAACGATACCATTTTGACTCCAGTGCGGAAGTCTGTGACGTCATGTACATGTCCTAGGCGTGACATCCCAATTAAAACATTGAAACTTACAGCTAATCACAGGGCTGATAGGTCATATTACATGTGTTAATACGCAAACATATGACATGGGTATATTCACTGGATAACACATTACATTATGTGATACATTTATATGTTGAATGATGTAGCATGACATAGCACTTCTGTACAGTCATATATACAAGGGGGAAAGACAACAAAACGGGAAATGGTGTCAGTAATCTTCTAATCTGCTTCCATTCCTTATAGAATTTGCATGTCACAGCTACTCCAGATCTTGTTATAAAGTATTCAACATCATTGTGATGGTACCAATTATTCCTCGGATGTGGATATCTTGAAAAGTATGTGTGTATCAGACCGAGGGACGTTCCCAAATGAGAACGTACACGTATGTTTAATGAGCACTGACGTATTGTAACTAGATTATAATTATTCAATTTTAAGCTTGCTTTGTTTTCTGTGAACTGTTCTACTGTTAATGTTTGGGCATGATTTAATTGATGGTAACAACGAACGGCCGGAATGAGTCTTGGCTTGTGTTTTGTAGTCATAAATGGCGTCTTCAGGGACACCAAACGACTGGCAAAGCGGAAAGACGCTGTCACAGTGTATGAACCACGTATTCACGTCTGGCACAGCTAGTGATGTAGCCTTTCTTGTCGGTGAGGACCAGAAAAAAATACCTGCCCACAAACTCATCCTTATAAGCAGAAGCCCAGTATTCTACGCCATGTTGGAGGGTCCAATGGCCGAGAAAGGGGAGATAACTATTCCGGATATAACAGAAGACGTTTTTCAGCTCTTTTTACGGTTTGAAGTTTCCTTCCTTTTATTTTACCATGTAAAACTAAATTTCTCCCATTTTCCCGATGATATGTCTGTAGCTTCAAGGATATTTTCAGTTCTGTACATCGAAGTCAATTAAGCTCAAAATATGGGATTTTATTTTCAGATGATTAATGTAACATTTTTATGTACTATGTTGATTAAGTCTGACAATGATCGTTGGAATAATATCAATACGCATCAATGTCATCCAAGGAAACAAAGATTCTAATATGGATATTAGAATAACCACAGTAACTTTACAGTTAATTTCCTTTTCCAATCCTGCCTGGGGTCGGGTTGGTGTTTTACTGCCAGTTTGTCCATCTGGTCATAAAATAATCAGCGACTAAGATATGATGATGATTTGACCGCTGACATTTTGCCCTTGAAGAGAACGAACCCACGTGTCAAACACGATACGTATGATCCAGTTATAGTTTCCTTATTTTATCAGGCTAAATATGAACAGGTTCAACTCAGGACAATTGGGATTCTAAATATGAAATCTGATAACAGATCTGAACTGTCGAATTTCAAAATGGCCCCCGTGGCAGCCATTTTCATTTTCGGACTAGTCTCAATATACAAGTAAGCACTAATAAATACCTATGGGAACCTACAGAGATCTGACTAGGACGTCTTTAGAAAGGGCATTAATAAACTTGAACTGTCAAAAACCAAGATCAAGACCATCCTGCTTTTTCAATCAATATTAATCTTGCACACCTTTGACCAATGAAAACCTTCGTATGAAATTCGAAAAGACATGTAAAGATCTTCTTGAAAATAGTAATTGAACAATCTACTTGTCTAATATCAACATGGCTACCTGGCAGTTATCTAGTCTTCAAATCTTACATGCATAATTACAACAAAGAAGAATATGCATATAAATTTGAGATAGATCTCTCAGATTCTCTTTGAGAAATAGTGTAAAAAAACATTTAAGTCTGGAAAATTTGTCCTTGGCTTTCTGTTCTGTTCAATATATACAGTAGAACAAAAGTATGGGTTTTGGGCCAGTGTCATTGAGTGCAGTCTCCTATATAATCCTATAGTACCCCCGGCACGCCCCTAGTGGCACCCTCTTTGGTAGCAGCAGCAGCAGCATACATCAGCAGCAGCAGCACTTTAACCATCGCCGCCGCCGCCGCCTTCACCACCGGCGGCGGCGATGGTTGCATTATACTGACAACGGGTGAACCAGTTGTTGCTATTTCACTTAAAGCTTAACGTTAAGCAGGGAATAACAAGTACAATATTTAAAGACTGCTGCGTTGCTACTGCTGTATGCTGCTGCTGCTACTTCGTGACTCCATCTCCATGGTAGAACGGCTGTCCTTCCTCATGTTTTATGGTTTTTATACGAATAAGAATGGACATGGGTGGGTCTCTGACCCGAGACAATAAATGGTTGTACATTATATTTGCGTTGTTATTGTATTATGTGCTAGAAGGTTCCAGAACATCACCGATCAGGTTGAAACCGGTTTCGATATTGCTAAACGTGATGCTATCGGGGAAAACCCGTGACGTCGTCGATCGGTACTCCCTATAGAATGGGGGTTGTCACTAGAGGGTGTATTGGCTGCACTCAATATGGGAACCCTCTGTGACGTTGATCGGTACCCCCCTACCAAAGGGGGTGCCACTAGGGGGTGTCGGGGGTACTATAGGATTATACAGGAGACTGCACTTAATGACCCTGGCCCAAAACCCTTACTTTTGTACTACTATATACTACTAGGGACTACGGGGGACATAAATGTAAAAGTAAAAAGAAACATCCCCCGTCCTCTGAGAAATAGCGCTAAGAACTGTAATACTCAAAATTACAAATTATCATCTGCAAGCCTCTTGTTCTTCCAAACAGTCTTACGATTCAACATGCACAACGAAGAACTATTTGGATCCTATATGTGAAAATTGAGAAAATTCCCTCTGGTCGTTCCCATGAAATAGTGTTTAGAAACTTTTTCTTTTTGATAAGTTCAATTTCAATATTTATAACCAGGAACCAAGGAGAACCTTTAAAAAAAATCTCCAGTATTTTATGATATATAGCACCAACAAACATTAACACTTACAATTCAAGATGACCGCCTGTCGACCACCAATGTGTTCCGATCAGGCCCAAACTTATGCATAACAAGGGAGAATAAAAAAAATATTTCTCAAATTTGAGAAATATCTTTTTACCTCCTGAGAAAGAGCATGAACATAAGTTGTTTAAGGGCAGATGGACGGACAGACTATGAACACAGGGCAACTTGAACAGCAAACTATCTGATGGAAGTGGGTTAAAATACTGCAAATTATCTCAAATTAATATTTGTACTGTTTCTTTTCCGTATTGAAACTCTGAATCTAATAATTTTATTTATTTAGATATCTGTACACAGACACAATCGACTTGACGGAGATGAACGTAGTACCTGTGTTGAATGCTGCTAGGAAGTACTGTGTCGACATTCTAGTTTCCAACTGTGAAGTATTTCTGACCAAAAGTCTGTCAGCGGAAAATGCTTGTCTGTTCTTGGAGCATGCTCATGTTTTCTTGATGGATAAACTGAAAACCGAGTGTCTACAAGTGATAAATGAATCTTCAACAGATGTACTGCAATCGACGACCTTTACTGACCTATGTCCGAGTTGTTTGACCAGTATCACTGAATCAGATGACCTTACTGCTGATGAGAGAGACGTGTACAAGGCCGTCATCAGATGGGCGGCAGCTGAATGTAGCCGTCAGAACCTTGAGGTGAGTAGCCAGCGGTAACTGTTACTAGGGTTGTTTTTGCAGGAATTTAGTTTCCGATGGACCGAATGAAAATACTAAATGCATTCATTTAATTCTTCTTTCAAATTTGCAATCATCTTTGCTGCCAGTGTTATCTATCTTGTACATATCATATATTTAATATTGTATTGGGCAAACATACGCCATGTTCAAAATGCAAAAGTTTTTATACGCCTGTCGAAGACGGGTCGTATTATGGTATACCCTTCTTTGTCCATCCGTCCGTCCGGGCGTTAACTTTTCTTTGTCATCGCTCTACAACCTTGATTTTCGCGTGGATTTCTATGAAACTTCATCCAGTGGTTAAGTACTGAACGAGTTTGTGTTTCGACATTGTAGCCTCAAAGGCAAGGTCACTGTTACTAAAAATAGATCAATTACTAGAAAACCTTGTCTGGGCCATACTTCAAGAACTATTTCATGTAGAAACTTCAACTTTGGTATGTTGGAACATTTAAGGGAGGAAAAGGTGCAGTTTTCCATAATTAGGTCACCGTGACCTACTTTCTCAGAAATGTTAAATACTAGCAGAAAACCTTTTCCGGATCATATTTCAAAAAATAATTTAGAGCCTTCAACACTGGTATGAGATTACATGTAAGCGAGGAGAAAAGCAATGAACCTGAAAATGTATTGCATTGTAAATGAAAAGATTACAATTGACGGGCGTATAATGCCACCGCTGCTCTTGTTTGCATTTATAATCAAATTACATGTACAATTAAATTAAAGTAAAGTTCATTTGTTGACGTGCAATGAAATATTCTTACAGTATATGATTATATTTCTGACATTTCCGTAATACATATAGACGATTCATTCCAATCGAATCGAACATTCCTGACATTGAAGTAATTTCCATATGTCACCCCTCTTCAGTACCTTTAATATTAGTATTCATCATTACAGAGCAATCACGAAAATCAGCGGCAAGTCCTTGGAGATATCCTGCACAAAGTGAGGTTCCCGAAAATTGATTCCGACTTCTTCCTCAAGCAAGTGTGTCTAGATAAAGTACTTCCAGGGGATATGGCACTAGATGTTATCAACTACATTATGCATGACAAGGTCGTAGATGTGCCTTGGCTTAATCTGAACGAACGGAAATATACTATATCTACAAGGGAGAATGTTTGGCGATTTAAGGATATTTCGAACGGATATTGGAGCAACACATTGGACCCTGAAGCTATTTCCTTTAAGGTTCCATGCGCAATGAAACTATACGGAATCGGGTCATGTCTAACAAAAGCAGAACCTAGCACGGTCGATATATTTGTATATGATGGAGATAATATATACAGCAGGAGTAAATTGCCCCTGGTCAAAAACGATTCCATAAATACAGGCGATGTTTTGCTTGCGGAGCCAATTCGACTATCGGCTGGAAAAACGTATACAGTCAAAGAAGTACCATCAGCGTATAAATGTCACTACTCCAACACGGGGTCAGCGAACGTTGACTGTAAAGGCGGAACAATTACTTTTATGAGCAGTTCCATGAGCACGTACTCGACAGTTCATCAAGGTCAGATTCCCTTTCTTATCATAGGATCATAAATATCGGCGATGGACAGTACAATGAATCGACTGGATACCACCTATATTAAACAATCGTCTCCATTTGAAGACCAACATTTCGTCATCCAAACACAGAAGTTTAGTATAAATATCGAAACTCAATACGAAACTATCACTGTGATGAGAGATTCATGGGTAGATTTAATGTAATTCGCATGTATTGAAGCCTTAATCATCGTGGCGTTTTGGACAAAATATTTAAAGTGGAAGTCATACTAACTATTACCGACATAAGTACGTCACTGTGTTGTCAGTAAGTTAATGACCATCTTAATCATCATTGAGATGAACATTGATTTCTATAAAAATCGATCTGAAAAATCGTAAAGATTGAAATTAGTTTCTATAAAAAACAAATGAATTATTCAAGACGTTTAAGTATCGATATAACTTTCAACCTTTCTGATAGCAGGAGATCATGGTCAATTTGAGGGATGATAATTTTTATGTTTTTTGGTAGATATACTTAGATGCATTTTTAATTGCAAATCATATAAATGGCGGAACACATTTTGAAGCAATGACACTTTTACTTCAGTTAAATCAGCTTCAAAACCAAACGAATGTTTAAGATCAAAGTGTTTATGGTTACAATCCTCAACAATTCCAGCAATTTTGCCAAACTTTTTGCCTCAGAACCCTTTGTTCTATGATATTCAGAGAATACTGTTCTCTTATAATCATGCTTCACAGTCTCATGTTAAAGTAGATAGTTGATACTTATGTAAACCTAATGCCGAAATACTCATAAAAGCTGTATTTCTTGTGTGCTTTTATTGTATGGTTATAAGTTTAAGAGACAGTTGTCGACAATGTTTCCATCTCAATGTAAATCAAATAATTTCAAGCAATTTCACATATTGGTAATCTAATTTCTTTAGAATGCAAGCAAAAACATTTATTCCATGAATTGATGGAATTTTCCTAACATCACAAACATTTGCACATCTATTTTACCTTTAACAAGAGGCCAAAAGTCATTTCAAGCTTACCTGCTATAGTTTAACATGAAACAGAAAAATCGATTTCAAGAACATATTTCATAAACCGTTATGTAAATGTAAAGTTTACATTACTGTATGTTTTTAACATTTTATAGGGGTGGTTTGGGTGGTGCAGTGGATAGCGCACTTACCTTTCACCAAGGCGGACGGGGTTCGATTCCCCGATCGGACGTGAAAAGGTTGGGGTCACCTGCCCAACCACGTGGGTTTTCACCGGGTACTCTGGTTTCCTCCCAGACTAAGACCCCACACGCGCTAACATCCGGGCCAACAAGAGTGATTAATATAAGTTGAAATAACTTGTGTCATAATTGTTGTTAAATAAATAAAGTTTATATATATATATATATTTTTAACATTTTATGATTATACGTCAAATTGATTTCAAAATGTGAGCATGTAGCATAATCCATCTAAAAATGTGCATTGGAATAAAAATACGTTTTTTAAACATAATTGTTTTTCTATTATCATCATCATTATTTAATGCTTTACGGCCCATACCTGGGTATGTTATGTAGACCAGAAGTGCGAATATTTGTATCAATTACAATAATGAGGTCAAAGGTCAACTTTAATTGCTAATCAGGGGTCGATTGTCAACATGGGTACCTACTGGCCAAATATTACGACCCTAGGTCCTCCAGTTCTTCAGAAGAAGTCTTTCGAAAGAACAAGAGGCCCATGGGCCTTAACGGTCACCTGATATATTTATACAGAGTGTTGGTTTTGTTTTTAACATGAACAGAAATATTATTCAAAGTGACAAAAAAACAATAAAACCACCTTATTCAATATCTAGCATACAGATTTCAGACTAAAAGGGATTTGAAACTAGCACCTCTGATTCTAAACAAGGAAAATGAAGAAATTTTAGCACACTGACTCCTTTGAGCCCCACCCTACAGCCCTTGGGGGTAGGGCTGGCTTAAAATTTTCAAAGCATCAAACTGTCAATTCAAGGTTATAATTCAAATCAAGTTATTAACATGTAATATTCAAAGTATCATTTGCCATTATAAACCATATTAAATTGTGCCCCCCCCCC